CAGTGTTATTTTTGGAAAATTCTTGAATGTTCGATAATTTCAATTTTGAAGCTTCTCAGATGCAGAATTGATATGCATAACTAAATTAAAATCCTAATTGACAGGTTTCTAGAGTTAAGATAAAGATAAAGAATAAGGAAGCTATGAGGCAAAAACTGTCTAGGTGTCAATTTTGGAAAATTTTCAATGTTCGATAGGTAATTTCAATTTTGAAGCTTCTCAGGTGGAACCAAATTGAAATCTTAATAAATAGGTGGGTGAAGAATTTAATTGGCTTCAATTAGAACTCAATTGCATTTAAATTGGATGAAAATTACCAGAGCTGTGAAGCAAAAACTATTAATATTTTTGAAAAATTTGCAATGTTTAATAATTTCAACTTTGAAGCTTATCAGCTGCAGGACTGATGTATGTCTAAATTAAAATCTCAATTAACAGGTTTGTAGAGACTTTAATTGGCTCTAATTAAATCTCAATTATATTGAAATGAAATGAAGATTATCGGAGCTGTGAGGCAAAAACTATCTCGGTATCATTTTTGGAAAATTTACAATGTTTGATAATTTCCATTTTGAAGCTTCTCAGCTGCAGAACTAATGAAACTATTGAAATCTCTCAAGTTTCTCAGGTGTAAAACTGTTGAAAGTTCAAACAAATATACAATTTTGTGTCCTCACAAAAGAACAAAAATTATCACAATAACCCTCAAAAACCCAATAGAAATTTTCACAACCCCGGGTTTTTGCCAATCCGGCTTGCAGTTCAGCCAATTTTTCTACAAAACGGCATTTCAGATTATAGACCGTCAGCTAATGGTAGATTTTGCTGACCGATTTTCTCTCTTCGGGGATTTCAACCACTGAAAATTATGTCAGTGCTGAGATCAGAAAATTGAAATTTAGCGACCGGACGCCTGCTAGGCATATGGAAAATTTATTTTCCTTTTGCAGAAAAAAATAGATAATTTTTGCAATTTCTCTTTCATGGCATTTTAACACATTAACATTATAGAACAATCTAAGTGAAAAACCAAAGCCATAAGGTTGAAATAAGGGCGCGATCTTGTGAAAGAATACTCTGCTGCTGATCGTTTTCTCGCGAGGGGTAAACAGCTGGCCAAAATGTGTACATCAGAAATCCATTATTTTTAAATAAATCCAGGAAATCCACAGAAATCCACAAAAATCCGAAGAAATCCACAAAAATCCGTAGAAATCCAAAGTCTTCTGTGAAAATCCAAAAAAATCTGTGGAAATCTATGGACTTCCATGGATATCCACAGGAATCCACAGTCAGTTAACAATTAAAAACCTGCCGAAGTTTGAAACTGGTAACAAAAATTGTACAAAACTTCACAACGTATTCATTATCGACAATTTTTTAAGCCTAAATACAACTGTTACTCATAATATATGGCATATAATTTCCTAAATGAAGGCTGAACAGTATTAGGTTTGTTTCTGCAGAAATCACAAACCAGTCAGAGCGAATTTCATTGGTTGAAAACAGTCAGAAACAGTCAGAAAACTAGTTTCAACCAATGAAATTCACTCTGACTGGTTTGTGATTTCTGCAGAAACAGACCTATTATTGAAGGTTGCAACATAGGTTGCAACAGTCGAAGTTGTCATATTTGGTTTGCTGAGAGATTTGATGAAAGACATTACAATCGATTATCATTTGTCTCACTGGTTCCATCAGAAAAAGATTCAGTGTCTGTGCTGTCATCGTATTTGACACTCATTTGGTCATTGTCTGAAGCACAGAATGTCTGAAATTTCGGAGTTAAAAGTTGATTTTTTGCATTTTTTTTTTTTTGATTATCTTAAATTGTCAGGCTTTTAAATGGAAGATTATAAATAATTGATAAATAATTCACCCATAAAAAATGCCAGATGCTTTTCAATGGCTGAAAAAGTGGGGATGGGTGTCAACTTGCAAGAGAAAAGTACCTACCTACCTAGAACTTTCCACATTTACTTTCTGTCTGGCAATCGCGAGAATGAAAGGTTTTGTTGTGAAAATAATGCTGAAAAATCGCCAGACGGTAATCACAGCTCAAAATCAAGTTTTCTGGCGAAATATTCTGTAAACATTTCGAAGAGGGAGCAGGCAGTCACATCCAGCCATCAAAATGCCAGACAACAAAAAATGACTCCACTAAACAGGCACTATCTCAGGGTCTATAGCGGACCTTTTTCAAAAACGGCATTTCTTTCTTCTGGCATCAGCCTTAATGCGAAATCCTCCGAAGGGGTGTCAGGGATGTCCTGGTATGGAGATAACGTATACTCACAGTTGTGATCTTCTATATCAGTTAACTCGTGGTCAATATCATTTTCCATAGGAGTTGACTCTAGGGTAGTTGATGGTGCAATAGCAACATCATTCCAACTATATTCTAGAGCTTGTGATTCTGTCCTTGTATTCCCAGAGTCTCAGCGAAATGTAGCGCGTCTTGTAACGCTTTTTCCACACCGGCCTGCTTGAAGTCATCTGATAGATTTTTAAAGTTGGGCAAAACATTTTGCCCTTTTATTGTTTTTTTTTTCTTCTAGCGGAAAACTTAAAACTTCTTATAGATCATTCATAGTATTTTTTATAGTTGCGATTCTGTCCAGTCTAATATATCCCTTATGTTGAAGTTAACCTTAGTTGAATATATCGTAGTCTTAGACCTTGTTGCTCTGAATACATTTTCACACGTCTGACTACTAAAAAGGTCAAGAAGGAACATATCATTGATGTGATAATTTTTGGTTAATTTTTTTCGCTATTACGTCCACAGACGCGTTTCGACATATCAGGTCTCGTCAGTGTGGCTTGGAAAGTTTAGTCTTTCTTAGATGGCGCCACGATCAAATTTCGCTCGTCGTATTACTTCTACTTTGCCTGCAGGCACTAAACTTCCATTGGTTTTATTTGCTTTCCTAGCTACACTAGGGCTTCGCGAGACCACAAGACTAGTCTTGGTAGCAAGACCAAGACCAAGACCAAGACCTGGTTAATCTTCCCAAGACCAAGACCAAGACTTGACCTTCAGTACCAAGACCAAGACTCTCTCTTGAGACTCTCGTCTTGGTCGGTATTGGTCTTAGAAAGAAAAATCGATTCATTGTTTCTATATCTATTCCTATATCTATCTAGTTTCAATTTCTTTTAATTGAATCAATCCATCAAATTTATTATTTTTTCAAATCACGAGAAGGTGAAGGTAGGTTTATTCTCATGATGGTTCAAATAGAAATTTATTTTTTAACTCGAACAGAATGGCAATTTTATGGTGTGTTTGTCAACTTTCCTGTTCCGTTAATATAAATTCTAATGTAAGAATTGATGTGTGTTTATTCCTCTGCGTTGTGGAATGCTTTATGCGGTATTTTTTCACACGAAACGCTCTTGCTGGTAAAAAGAGCCTGTAAAGAAAACCAAATGCATGGTCGAAACGTCGGCATAATTTTTTCCGAAAGGGAGTTTTATTTTTTAGTTCTGAAGTCCTAAACCCATTATCTCGGCTACTTTATGTTATGTATATTTTAAAAATTTGTTATAAATTTTTTTCAAGACTATCAAGACCAAGACCAAGACTATCAAGACCAAGACCAAGACTGAGCCAGTCTTGTCTTGGTCTTGAAACATCAAGACCAAGACCAATACCAAGACCGCATTTATTTTTCGAGACCAAGACCAAGATTGGCCAGTCTTGGTCTTGGTCTTGGTCTTGCGAAGCCCTAAGCTACACTGACGGGACCTGATAGGTCGAAACGCGTTTATGGATGGAATAGTGAAGAAAATTAATCCAAAATTTTCGCAGCAGCGGATAATAGGAGAAAACTTGTTTTCCTTATTTTGGGTTTTCCTAACTATCTAAGGCAGGTGTTACCCAACTCCTTAATTCTTAATTTCTAATTTTTATTTCTTAGTGCTTAATTCATAACAACTTAACAGCGTGCTATTAAATGATGGCGTTTATCCAATTCCTATTCCTTAATTCCTATTCTTATTTTTTAAGAACGACCTTCCAAGATGGCAACTTTTTAACTTTATGAATTAAGAAATCAGGAATTGGGAAAAATACGAAAAGCGCATGTGCTCTTCATCAGCTGTTAACGTTCAAAAAGGAAAAAGGCTTTATTTTGTCTTGCGTTTTTGTGTTGGTTGAAAACAAAACAATATTGGGATAAAAAACACCTATATTCTACTTATCCGATCGACTGTAAATTTTGCATGCGTTTATATTTTCTATGACAATAGATGTTGCTTAACATCCTGCCAGAATATTGAGCTTTGGGCTTGATAAACGGTCAAAAACATAGAATTTTTTTGTCAATTGTAGAAAAATATATTTTTTATATTATTCCACATAGGTTACCAGTATGGTAGACTACCTACTCATGCTTTCTAGACCCTGATAGTTGTAATAAGTCAGGAAACTATATGTTGCCCACACAAATTAGAAGACGTTTTTTTCTCTGTTTCAGGTGCTCCTACGTCCTTAAGCAGTTAGTCACAACGAAGGTCCGAAATAAGCTAATCCTTTAGTTATCATTTTTTTCTGCTGACGATAAATTTTAGAATCCAGAGTTTAAAGCTACTTTAGTCACAATATATTATATAAAATACCTACTCTTCGCTATAAACATTCTAAAAATCTGTTATAGAAAGTAGAAGTTTAGCCTTCTCACCCCCTTCAACCTCATTTTATTTGCTTCAAACCTCTACCACCAAGAAATTATTGCAGAACGATCTGAAAAAGTACAGGGATGGAAAAAGAAAAATCTTGGCCTGAATGTGATATAAGTGTCACGAAAGACCGTGTTCGATTTTTTTACACCATTTTACTTGCCGCTGAACTGAAACGGTTTGTATTCACAAAACATTTTTGCCAGAGCCCTTCTTTTAAATGTATCATTGTTTATTTTGAAAATCCAAAAGTACATATTTTGAATTTCTTTACACTCAAAACTCAATAAACTAGAAAGAAAGCAGTAGTTAGATACCTGAAAGCAATAAATGCATCCCCAAGTTCTCCACCGACGATATGCACGCCACCTTCTGGTATTTGCAGTCCGTTGAAGAACTGTCTGATATCCATCGCATTCGCCGACCATGGCAGATTTTGAAGACGAATAATTATGCTCATTTTGGAGCAGAATCAATCTGTTGGCAAGATCCTGCAAAGAAACAAGAAGACTCCATGGTAATAGATTTCAAGTCGAAACTGGTGCATTAGGAATGGGGGTTGATTTGTGTAATTGAAACTACTGGTTAAAAGTTATCAATTAAGTATCCATTTATTTCGTTTTTAAATAATAAATACAAATTTAGTCTTAAAATTTAAATTACATGACTCTCCTCTCAATTATTTTTCTATAGCTATTAAGTATAATATCATCTTAAATCTAAAAATTAAACAAGATAATCAATAAAAATGAGGCATAAGCTTGGGTATTAGGTAGGTATTTAGCGACAATATTCATAATTTTGCACAGAAAGAAAGTTATTGATTAGTAAAAGCGCGACTATAAATTTAGAGCCCTCTATCTATGATATAGGTTTCCTTCCTTGACCTTTTCCATCCGCAGACGCGTTTCGCTCTCCTAGAGCTCGTCAGTGCGGCTAGGAAAAGCAAAGAATAGAAAATCAGGTTCGCGTGTGACCACAAAATCGATACAACTAAAGGTGCTCTATGTGAACTGTAACTCCATCTTTATGAGCAATGCAAAGAAAACATATCATTAAACTGGCGACAATATTTTTTATCTAAAAAGTATTACATTTTCGGAGCTCCCTTACTAAAAAGGCTTGCACATCAGTTTAAATCTTTAGAAGATGGATGAACTATAATGTTACCCTAATCCTGGTACTGAAATAGGTATGTACAAGCTTTAATAAAAGGAGTTTGAAAAACACTGACTTATTAAATTGAATGAATGAATGAAATAATAACTGTCCCGAAATGAAGTGCTGATGGATGATGATTCCAACAGAATATTTTTTTAATTTTTAGTTCAATGGGTAGTTTTATACTTTAGTTATTTAAAATTACTTCCAATATTGCATAGGTATTGTATTGCATATAGACCTTTCAAGAACCAATAATTAGAATCAAGTTCAAGTGGTTTTATTAATATTAGATGTTAGTCCTTACGTTAGGAGTATTTTTACTTAACGTGAAAGGGCCACTGAGCCGTCGTATCGTATTATCGTATCGTAAATAAAATAGGTTTTTCTCAATCTCGATTTGAGAAATATTCAATTACATATAATTTTGATGGATTTCACCTAGGTAGCAAATGATTTTTTCACATAAGGCAAACCAAACAATAGTTCCCTCTCCTTGAAAATACTTTCAATTATATACTCGTCAAAATTTCGAATGTGAGACGCCCACCAAGAATTACGAATAATAATCACGAATCTACGTCATTTACTATAGTGTGTCAAGGGTGAAAAAGTAAGATGATAAAACTACCGTACCAAGTTGTGAACAGCGCCGGCCGCGGCCCGCGGGTATCGCAATCAAGAGTTACTAGTCAATGCATAAAATCAGCCGCTCCGTGCAATTCCAAATCAAGGTAAAATATTCCTCCTAACACTATAGTGTTCATGGTATAACATATTGATCTAGTTTAAATGCTTTTTTTTCTATACCCTCAACAGTTCGGCTTCAGAGAGAGCCGATCCACCTGGCCAGATTCATCCAAGACCGGTTTGTTTAACAAAAGAATGGCAATCCAACCACTGTTGTTCGACGTCTTCAAAGCGTTCGACAAGATGTGGCACCTAGGCGTGAAGCTACTGCGGATAAGATAGAAGCGCCCGATTACATAACGTCATAACCGAACGTTGCAAGTGAGAATAGACGAAAATCATTCCAGAACAGTAATGATGACCGTCAGAGTCTCCTAAGGATTCCCACTTACCCCTAAACTGTGCCTTCTAATTCCAAAGCGTTGGAGGTGGAAACTAAACATGATCCGGGCCAAAGCGCAGGCCATACTGTTTCGACTCCACATCCATATCCCACGAGGACGAGTAGGTATTACCGATTACCAACCGGGATATTCCGTGAGAAACCGGATCACATACCCCAGTCTTCATGTCAACCACCGGCTCGTCACTAGAGCCCGTTGATCTGCAGGAAAAAGATAAATTTGTAAACCAGGTACAAGCTAGTGCTATACAAATCCATGCCAAGATTGCCAAGGCCTATTCTTATCATACGATGAACCATCGCAGCAGTCAGCCACATCGAAGGAATTACCGCATTGCTGTGGAACATCAGACATCGCAGACATACCTTGGCATATGAGAAACCTAACGCTACACCTCGAAATAGAAATGCTCAGACGATACTCCTTTGCCACATGAGAAAGGCACAAAGCACCCACAGACTCTCGAAAGATGACTACCACCATAATCAGCGTCTGCGAGAATCCCCTTTTCTGAATTGGGTAGAGAATGAGGACTTCATTCAGCAGGAAGCGAACGACTAAGATGCTGCTGGATGTTGGCTCATCAAAGGCTAGAGGAAGACAACCTCGATGTAAATTTACCTAGTCCTCCTGACAGGGGGTTGAGGTATGGGACTAGCTCCCCGTTACTCGGAAAAACTGTGAACTGTTGAAAGACCCAATCGACAGCCTGGGAACAGGCCCAAAAACCGGAAATGAACTAGGCAACGAAAGCGGACAATAAGTATTGGTACATAAAATGTTCAAGGAATCTCTAGCAGTGGCGGTTCGTGGGTTAGTAACCAGGGGGGATAATACGGAACTTGCATCAATGATGATTTCGATAGTGGACAAAAAATAGGTCCACACGTGTTTTTTCTTTTTCTTTTTAGTCAATAATTGACGGAGATACAACGCTATGAAAATTGTGAAATGTGTTTTTGACGTCAAAATCATATAACTTTATGACGTCGCACATGCTCAGTATATCTATATAATACAAAATCTAATATTTGTATAACTTTCGGAATAATCATTTTGGATAAAATGAAAAAATACGCATCGATTTTTTTTCGAATTCCTACAGATTCCGGGAAACAATAATCAATTTAATTTTTCACGTAAGTTCCCTATTGTTACATTTTTTTTCTAAAAATTTTTTTCACACAAATTATTGGGGTGTTCTGCACTATGATGCAACAGAACTGAACTTGTATTTTACTGGACTACTGGATTTTACTACGTGCACAGCGCGCTGTTGAAGCGAAACACAGCGGGCCGTCGACCATATTAGTGATATAGGAGTCAAGGTGACTCTCACTCCCGCTCACGAAATGCGTAATCTGTTGTCTCTGTTCTTTTCACATGCTTTTTGCCTGAATCCACTTGCACTGTGGTCAATTTCAATTACGGCCCGGTTCCCGATTAGCGAACGGACGCGGCAGGATTATTTATAAGATTTATTTCTAATATTGCAGCAAATTAATGTAGACTGCTTAGAATTTTATGATACAAAATAATTTTTAATAAAACTATGATATTGATCAGAATATTTTAGGTCATTGACCCATTGACCCTTATAACAAGCCGCTACTGATCTCTAGAAAAATAAATGAAAGAACCCAAAAATTCACTACAGAGTCCCACAGCTCCCAGCCCTTGGAACTTTGACCTGACGCTTACAATGAAATGGTTTTTTGCCTATCTTAAGGGTAGAATGCAAGTGATAACAGCGGATGGCGAATACTCTGATAGATCATTTACTACAAGAGGTGTTCCACAAGGCTCTGTTCTCGGACCTATTTTATTTTTGTTGTATTTGAATGACTTAGCAGCTTTAAAGATTCAGGGTTCTTTTACATTTTTTGCGGATGATACTAGTCTTCTTTGGCATGGTAAAAACAGAGATGACCTCAAATTAACAGTTGATAGGGACCTGCGTGAAGTTAAGCTTTGGTATGATGCAAATTTGCTTTGTTTTAATGTAAATAAAACCAGCATGATCACCATTGGGTTTTGCTACAATGATTTGTATTTGAATGATGAAATTGTAGAGAGTAAACCCCTTACAAAATTTTTAGGTCTCATCATAGACAATAAACTTAAATTTGAGGACCATATAAGGGCACTAAGTAAAAGGTTGTCTGCTGGTTGCTTTGCAATCAGAATAGTTTCCAACGAGCTTAGTGGTTCTACCACAAAAATGGTTTATCACTCACTATTTGAATCTCTTGTGAGATATGGTATAGCTTTTTGGGTATTTACTAACAGGCAACAGTTTAATTCGATATTTGTTTTACAAAAGAGGACAATTCGTTATTTGTGTAAAGTTCAATCAGGTCGTGAACATTGTCAACCGCTATTTATTAGGGATTTTTTTTTAACTGTACCATGTTTATTCGTTTTGGAAACTGTGTGTCTTGTGCACAAGAAATATTTGGGTTTGGAAACTCGGGATATTGGGTACAACACTAGAGTAAGTTCGAACACTAATATAGGCTTACCTATACCAAAGTCTGCTTTAGCAAAACACTCAATATTCTACGAGAGTAAAAAATTTTCAACCATCTAAGTAATGAACTTAAAACGATCAGAAACTAAAAACTATTTCGTAGGAGTGTTAAGGATATTTTGTTGCAAAGGGCTTACTACAGCTTGGAGGACTACTATAGTGATACTGTATGACTATACAACCTTTTTTATTTTTAAGTAATTTTTCTTTTATTTACATTTTATCATTTTAGTATAGTTTTAAGTATATGTTATATTGCTTGGATCGCCGTACTATTCGTCAATTTTTTTTTTACTTGTTTGTATTTGCATTGTTGTACTATTGGTGATTTATTTTTATTTTTTTCTGTCTTACTTTTAAGTTTTGTCAATATAATGTTTTTTCTTGGATAAAAAAGTATGATTGACTATGACTATGACCATGACTAACATCGGAAAACGTATTGCTACGGATTTGAATTGATTTTTTTCCAACGGCATCGGAGCATTGAGAGCTGCCATCAATATGATAATATTCTTGCATACATTTGAATAATTTATTTATTGTATTTATTAATCAATATAGATCTGAAAATGTTAGCTGATTATACGCCTAAATTTTCTATTAGATTTTATTTGTATTATTCTCCAACATTCCCGATACTATTGTATTGTAATATTATAGTCCCAACCTTGGGATTATATAGAATTTACATAGTCACTCAATA